TTTATGTTGATTTTTCTCCCTCCCTCCTCCCTCCCTCCCTCCGTACTGCAGATTGAACTAGGTCCTCTTACATGCTAAGCATGCAGTCCACTGCTGAGCTATATTCCCACCTTCACTCCATGCTTCTTAATAAAATTTATGTCCCTAAAATCAGTTTGATAAAACAAAAAGAATATTTTATTCTGCTGCCAGAGCAAGTACAAGAATATATTTTATTCAGTTAAAAACACAGAATGAAAAAGTAGTGCTGAGTTATGTGGGGCTTTTTGTCAAGTTGATTATTTCAAATACAAATTTTCAAAGACCTACAAAAGCTATTATAGAGGTGGGTAACTGTCTTACTTTTCTCTTGTTGATGAGACAGAATACCCAACACCCAAAATTAAAGGGAGAAAGGTTTATTTGGCTTATAGTTCTTAGATGTTTCAGTCCATAATCTGCTGTCCCCAAGGAAGAGTGGCACATGGCAGGGGGGTGTCACAGAGGAGAACAGTTCCTGGTGGCAGAAAAAGGCAAAAGCAAGGGACTTTAACAGAGCCCCTTTCATCCAGACTACCAGGATTAGGGCAGTGGCCTGATTCAGTAATCACACACCCTTAATCCCAGCATCACACACTGTAGATTCAGCCACCTCTGAAAAGGCCCCATGACCGCATGAGGCTTTGGGGGGACATCTTGTCCCAAACCACAACAGTAATAGTTTCCAAGAATTTGCATGGGAAGAAGAATATCAGTGGGCCTTGCAGCTTTAAGAGTAGTGAATGTAAGCAGAATGAATTTTATTTCAGTCGGCAAGGTGGGAGAGCATTTGGGCCTGCATTTTGGGACTTAGGATCCCTGACAATTGTCAAAATTTAGAGTGGAACCCGTGAGTGTATTTTACTCCTAGGTAGAGCAGCCCATCAAAGAATGCTCCTCTTCTCTGAGGATCTGCTTTGGATGTTCTTCACTCTTCAGCTTTAGCATCTGCAGTTCTTGCTGCTTGGTACCCAAAATGTGTCCTGCCATGAGCTCCTCTAGTAGAACATTTTAGGAATGTAGAGTCTCTGGTTCCATCTCAAGCCTATTCAATCCATATTTTAACAATGTTCCTAGGTGATTCTTATATGTAGTAAAATATGAAAACACGGGTCTAGGGCTGTGGTTCACAAAATATGGTTCCCAAAGAAGCAATGTCCCTGTACTCGAATACTGTCAGAAGGTGCACATTCTCAGGTCCCTGGAGGGCCAACCAAAAGAGGAACTCTGGGCTGGGCTGCAGCAGTATTTGTCTTAATAAGTACTGTGAGTGATGCTAAATCATGCTAAAGATTGAGAACCGCTTGAGAGCAATGTGTTTCAAACAGATGTGATCGTGACTTATGGGGAGAAATACATTTTAAATTATGACACCCACATACAGTTTAGAAGTTTATCTTAGTATGTGCTGTCTGCTCTGGCATTTTCAGGTATGTTCTATTAAGTGTATAATTTATATCAAAATTTGGCCATATCCACTAGACTGATTATATGAGCCACTAATGGGACCTAGGCTGCAGTTAGGGAACTGTGCTTTTGTGTAAATGCTCTTAATGTGTTCTGTGCCATGGCCTCTTAGGGCACTTTGGTAAAGTCCTGGATCTAGTTTGAGACTAGTATTTTTTTTAAGTTCATGTGATAGAACATAGGGAGTTACAAAAGAAACCAAATACAGTCTTCTCTTGGTATTTACTGGGGACTGGGTCCAGGACCTCTGCAGATACCAAAATCTGGGTGCTCAAGTTCCTTATATAAAATATCATGTTAGTTGCATATAATTGGTATGCTCTTCTTGCATACTTTAAATTATCTCTAGATTATTTATAATACCTAAAACAGTGTAAATAGACCTTATACTGTGTGTTTAGGTAATAATGGTGAAACAAGTCTGTACATGTTCAATACAAACACATCCTATTTTTAGAAAGTATATGTTTAATGACAGTTGATTGAATTTGTGGATGTAGAACCTGCAAATATGGAGTACCAACTGTATATTGACTACCAAAATAATAAATTTATAACATATGTGGTGAATCTAGAAATATTATCATTTAAATTAGGGATGAGTATTAGTGCTATTTCAAGACATCTGCTGTAACTGTTATATAATGTGAAAAGGACTGTGATTTCTGTTCATAACAAAATTATAATTATTGCTACTAATACTGTGGTTTTGCCTACATTTATATTTGAAATAAGCTGCTAAATTTTATCTTAAGTGAGAATAGACATATAAAATTCTTTCCCGCATCTGACTTGAACTTCCAAAATTCTATTGATCCCTCTCTCCTCCATGGATCTGGAGTTAAGAACTGTTGATCAAGAGAAATCTTTCTTTAGGGAACAATTCTCACACTTTAAATTGAGATACTCAGCCAAGAAAATTATCTTCCTGGAGTTGCTTAAAGCTTTTGCTTTGTGGCTGCCATCTTGTTTTTTAGTGCCATAGTAATGGAATATTTCTTTCAAATGTTGTTTTCTGTCATTTTACTGAGGCTTTGGGAGGTCATCTGGAAGGCCAAGTCCAAGCAATGGGTGATGTTTTCCAGCCTCCATCTCAGTATGCATCCAGGTGCTCAAGCCAGATTCCTGGGAATCATCCCATTGTCATGGGTTTTGGGTTTAGACTGCATGGATTTGAATCTGGAATCTATAATTTTTAGCTGTATACTTTTGACAGTTTATCTGCTTTTAGCTTCCTTTCTCTACTGGTGAGATTGTTCTTAAGATTGTTCTCAGCATTGAATGAGATATTTTGTGTATTGCATTACAACAGTGCCTTGCAGGGTGTAAGTGGTTTGTGAATCTTATCTATTACAGTTATCCTTGATTTCTCTCTATCCTTCATTCTTTAAATCCAATTGATTATAAAACCATGCATATTCTTCCTACAAAGTTTTTTTTTTTTTTTTGGTACCGGGGAATGAACTCAGGACCTTGCGCTTGCCAGGCAGGTGGCGGAACCACTGAGCTAAATCCCCAGCTCCTTACAAAGTATATTTTTACTTCATCAACTTTTGCCTGTTTCCATTGCCCTCAATAAATAACTATACTCTCTCTTTAGACTTTTAACTCCTTCTTCTGGTCTCTGGTTCATTTTCTGTGAAACAATCAAATGATCTCTTGAAGATGCAAATGAATAATCTTTAAAAATATAGGGCCGGACGAGTTTGATCCCTGGTACCAAAAAAAAAAATATATAGGGCCAGGGATTTCGCTCAGTGGTTTCGCTGCCTGCTGCTCAGGTGCAAGGACCTGAGTTTGATACCCAGGACCAAAAAAAACCACCCCAAAACAAAAAATATAAATGAATCACTTTACTGTTTAAAACTCTTGTCTTCCCTTGATCTATACAAATGGTGTGTTTGGTCCCTGCCTGCTCTCTTAGTGGTTCCTTGCCCATTCACTTGCTCTTCTGTGGTAAGTGTTTGAGTGGTCAAGTGTTTGAGTGGCTGTCCTGCCACCCGTATGGCCATGTGTATGGCCTCCCTGTCCTTAGTGAGACACTGGTCTCCTTTTGGAGTCTCTTGTCCTTATTGCTGCAGGTGTTAAATCCTCGCAGAGTCCTCCCTAACCATCGCACCTAAATCAAGGTACCTACTATGGGAGCCTCTTGGTCGAGTACTTCTTTTACCCCCCTGAAGCTTTCCAAACACATTAAAAAATTAATATTTCCCCTCTGATGGGAAACGATAATCTATGATCATTAATCACATAACACTAAGAGTGTGCACTTTTTTTAGAAAGATAAATTTTATGCATTATGAACATTCGGTGGTTGTAGAGCTATTTTAAGCAATTGCTATCTCCAAATTCTTCAAGCTGCCTTTTGATAATGGTATTGAAGAATAAAGGGGCGGAGGGGCCCTCCTACAGAACCAGTCTGCAGTAAGAAGTTGAGTTTTGATTGGGCCTGCTCACTGTTGTCAGACATTTCTGCTCCAATAGAAGCTGTAACAGAGGTCATAAGATTTTCTTCTTTGAAGAAAGAAATTATTTGGTTGTTCATAGAACGCTTCTTCCCCTTCTCCCTTAAAGTGAATGATCAGTTGCTGGTCAGATGTGAGAAAAGACCTCTGCTAACGAGAGGGTAGAAACCAGTGTGGGTAGTGTCGGGATCCTGGTTATTTTAGAGTTCAGAGTAAAGAGGCAGAAGAATGACTTTCTGACTGTCGTAGGTCAAATTTCTCTGTGCTTTAAAGTTTCTTCCTTGTTACTTATTTTTAATGAATCGTAGCCTATAGAAGGGAGACACTCTTGATTTTTGGCTGTGTCCTCAAGTAGCCAGGAACAAGGTCTTAGGAATTTAGAATCAGTGTATGTTTTTCTTTCAAATAAGGGACTGTTAGGAATCCTAAAGGACACTGGTACAAATTTAAGACAGTCAGTTGAATGGGGTGCTTGGCAGTTCAGTTTGTGCCCTTTTTGGCAGACTGGTGTTTCTGATTATGTAAATATGTGATCTCTTTTGGAGAAAGACTACTTTTTTGTTGGTATTCTTTAACAGAACCGATACTAAAATTTATTTTTGTAATGGACTGGGTAGTGATTATCACATGGAAAAAATATAAATAAAAATAAAATAGTTTTCTAGTTGACGAAAATTTAAAAATCTACCATGAACTTGTGCCACAATGGAGGCAAGCTTTTTGTTTTTCTTATTCCTTTGTAGATATTCATATGCATGTCTTGTTTTTACAGTTGTAATCATGCAGCTAGAATTTTGTAAACTGATTTTTCATGTCATGTTTTTTATATTTCATTTTGAGTGGTTATATAGCAGTCTATTAAGAATTTATAATGGTTATTCATTCCCTTATTGCATAGTTTGTTTTATGATGTATTTTTTTATTATTTTTTCTTTGGTAACAGGGATTGAACTCAGGACCTTGTGCTTGCGAGGCAGGCAGCGGAACCACTGAGCTAAACTCCCAGCTTATAATGTATTTTTAATGATGTCTTTTGTTCTCATTTTGCAGGCAGAGACATTTGTTTGGGTTAACAATGCATCAGCACATTCCCAGAGTGTTGCCAAGGCCAAATATGAATTTTTATTTGGCAAATCTGAGGAGAAAACTCCAGATACTAGTAAGTATTTCCCATTTCTTTCCTCAGTTAAAAAATGTGCACCACTGCTGATTCCTGAGTACTTTTTCTTCACTTGCATTACTTCCTTCCTGCCTCTGTGAAACCCATGCAAACAGGTTTTATTCATGAAACCAATTTTCCCAAGATGTAGAATTCAGGAATATTGGATGTATTTGTTTTTCTTTTTGTTTTTTGGTAATGGGGATCGAACTTGGGACCTTGTGCTTATGAGGCGGGCGCCAGAACCACTGAGCGAAATCCCCAGCCACTGTATGTATTTCTTATAGCTAGTTCCCGGTAATTTCAAGTCACGTGTTTGGTTCAAAGAACTCTCAGCTTCTGACATTTGAAGCTTCAAGAATTAACTAATTCTCATAAAGTTTTCTTTTTCCACATTTACCATTGTTGCGTGTGTCTACTACCTTATTTTTGGTACTCATTTTTAGTGACCAACATATATCATGTAATTTCAGACAGTAGAGTCTTTGTTTTTTTTTTGGTACCAGGAATCAAACTTGGGTCCTTGCACTTGCGAGGCAGGTGCCGGAACCACTGAGCTAAAGCCCCGCCCCGCAGACTGTACAGTCTTAATTTATGGGATTATCATATCTCTTGTTTAAAAAGATACTGATACAATCTGGGATTAAATTCTAGTTTAATTCAAAACTGCTAAATTTAAGAACAAGTGAAACTATGACTAGTATCAATTGTGATCATATTAGCTATTTTATTGGAATACTTGCTGTGTGGCAGGTACAGTATCTTGTTTAATCCTCACAGCGTACCCCCATTTTCCAGAGGAGGAATCTAAAGTAAATTCCTTACAATTGTCATCACTCATACAGCAGAACCAAGTCAGGTCTGCCTGACTTCAGAGCTCATGACTCAGCCTGCTGAGACAGTGGATTTTGAAGGCATTTTTCTAAAAGGAGATACAAGATTAAAAATGCAGTTTTATAGAGTTTTAAAACTTGTGGCTGTGCCTATGGGAGACTGACAGTGAAGGTGTCATCATTTCGTAGAATTTAGACAGAAAGGGCCATGGCATATGGAGAAGAGTCTGGGTTCTGGAGCTGGACTTTCTGAGTTTGAATCCTGTCCTTGTATCTTGCAGGCTGTGTGACCTTCTGTCAGTTACTGTTTTCTAGTCTGTAAATTGGGGTTATAGTGAAACATATTTCAGAATTCTTTTGAAGATTTGTAAGTGGATGTGTAAAGATCTCAGAATCATGCTTGGTGTGTAACAAGTGCTATAAAAGTATGTGCTATTATTTATTTGTTGGGGTGATGATGGTGATGTAGCATTATCATCATCTGTATCCCTGGCCTTTCTGTTTTGGGTGGACAGGGAATCTGACCCAATGTGACTTGTTCAGTTGACCAAATAATCGCGGTACTTAGCAGACTTGTATATTCATTGGGATTACATAATAACCTCATGATATTGGAAGATGCCCGGAAAGTAGTGTTTATATAGCCATTTAATAATTCCTTTTCTCATAATGAACATTTATTGCCTATTTCAATAGTTGGAAATCTTTAAATGCAATACAAAACACATAAGTTATTTAAAATATCATTCAGCTTTTATGATAGTGTTTTGATTTAGAGGAGACTGTTTCACAATATATCTTATACTTACTATGTAGGGTAGCCATTTATATTTTATATATATGATATAGCATGGAGACCTAACTATTCTGGGCTAGAGGTTTAAGTCACTTAATCATATATTCACTATTTCTCAGAGGGTATTAATTATAGTCACCTTAAGACTGCTTAACATTCTTTGACATAGCCTTAACTTTGAATACCACATTGTATTTTATATTGATTAAGTGCTTTTTTTACTTTGATGAGATAGTTTTTACTTAGCTATATAGAGAACATGTCACATGTCTATAGTTCTGTGTTATTAGCGGGTGAGTTTGGCTCTTTCTTACTAATAGGTTTTGAGTAGTTTTCCTATGCAGTATTTCCATCCCAGATAAGTCACACTGAGGCAAACCAAAATAACATTTTTCTTTTTTGGGGGGGGTACCAGGGATCGAACTTGGGACCTTGCACTTGCAAGGCAAGTAGCAGAACCACTGAGCTAAATCCCCAGCCCCCAAAATGACATTTTAAACATTCTATTACTTACTTGCTTGGGTAAAAATGGTTGGTGGTATTTTGTAAAAATGGTGGTGTAAAGTTACTTTCCAAGTGTGAGTGTATGAATGTATTTATAAAACATATATTTAATGAACTTATTATATCCTACTCACTTTTGTGGGATATTCTGAGGGTACAAAGGAGTAGAAGTCACAGTTCTTATCTACCAGTTGCATATTTTTATTTGTACAGACATAATGTGTCTCCAGATATGACGGGAATGATCACCTTTAGCTGGGCTGGCGATAACTTCACAGAGGAGGCTGAAGTTGAACTTGCTTGTGGACTAGAATTCAGATTGAGTTTGGGGAGGGCATTTCACACTTAGGGAACAATGTAGTGGCAGATAGTGTACATTATTTGGGGAACTGACAGGAGACAACATTGTCAGTTTGTAAGCATTATCAGTGAAGGAGAAGTTTACAAAGATCACCCTTTAGAAAGAGGTCCTATCACTCTATCTCATAGAGCCCTCTAACGTAAAATGTTTGCATTTTGTTCATGTGAGTAGAAAGGAAATGCCTCAAGTACTGTCTAAGATAGACTGATGGAGAGATATTAATCTTAAAATTGGAACAGGTATAGCAGAATCTATTGCTTCCTGCAGGATTGTAAGATGTCAGTTTATATTGCTTTCTGGAAAGTACTCTTTGTGTCTTTACAAAAAAAAAAGATGCACATTTTTATCATTTCAAAAATGTTCTTTGAAGTACCTTTATATAGAACATTGATTTGTCATCAAAACACAGCTCAAACTCAGAAGCCTGTATGAACAGTAAGTAGTAGAGATGAAAAGATGGTATATCTGTTAGAATTTGATGACAGGCATACTTCTTCCAACTTAGATTTAAAAAAAAAAAGTTAAGCTGGGTATGGTGGTACACACCTGTAATACCATCACTACTGGGAGATTGAAGCAGAAGGATCACAGGTTTGAGCCCAGCCTAGGCAATTTAGCAACTTGGCCAGACCCTGTCTCAAAAAAAAAAGTTAAATGAATACTGGCAGCTGTCCCCAGTCTATTGTTTCTGTGCTGGCTATTAGCTTGTTCCTGCAATTTTCACTCTTTCTTGACTGTAACGAATCTGTTAGACAGACGGAAATGTGTAGTCGCTTTTGAATTCAACTCTAGAATTCAGCAGGCAACAGCTCTCTTACCGTAGCCTAGTAATGGTGTGGTCAGGTCGGGTGAGGTTAGTTGATTTAAAATCTGCAGTGACATCCAAAGAAATGCTGTTGCTGTACAGGGAGACAAGGCTTACTTTGCTGCTGAGGAGGAATTTAGCACTGTTTGCGGTTGGGAGGTCCTAGGGAAAACAGTTCAGTATCATTTGCAGGCTGTTGCTTAGAACAGAGCTTTTGAGTCTGTGACAGGAGCTTAGGGTAGTGGTGATGAACCTGTGACACGTGTGCCCTAGCTGGCTGTTTGTTATCATTGAAAGCTTTAAAAGTTTCGCCATCACTGGCCTAGGGTATTGGCTGGGTTACTAGAGAACATGTGATGGGGGAAGAATCTTTTATTGGCAATTAAGATTCTCATTATCTGTTTGTCAATATAGTGAAAGGAAAGAGGTAACCATGTTTCCCTAGTTTCTGTTTCTTATTATTTTGGGGGCTCCGTCCCAGCCTTTGGGAGCTTTTCAAGGGCAAGGGGAACAGTAATTGTTAGAGGCTATGGGCTACAGGGATTACTGTGTGCTACACTAGTTGTCCTGTGACTTTAGTGAAGAGACCCCAAGGCAGTAGTGGTAGGTGACTAATTTGCGGCTAACTGGGCCTACATTCACTGGGGGTTGGTGACAGTCACAACTTTTCTCTTTGAGTCAGATTGGCCTGGCTTCTCTGAACTAGTCAGGTGGCCTCTCTTGGACAGGAGGTCCCTCCTTACAGAATTCCTAGGGTAGCATCAAAGGGCCAATCCTAATTGGTAAAGAGCAAATGACTGTTTCTGTCTCTGTGAAAATTCAGAAGGAAAAATGTTGAGGAAGTCTCAGTAAATCTCTTCCTTCTCCACTTCTGGGGGTTGAAGAGGTGTGTGAACCAGTGAAAGGGCCTGAGAGGTGTTAAGAAGGGGAATCAACATCCTGTGTTAACCGTTAGCATTCTGACAGTCTCTGTTGACTTCTCAACTTTTTGTTGTAAGTAGGTGAAGAAAACGAGGGCAATTAAAGAACAGAAGGGCACATAGTTTAGATGCTTTGGAATCAGGTTACAAGGCTAATCCTTGGTAGCCCTGGAGAAGAGCTCTAGGCTTTAATGCTATCTTACTATTCAAAGCATACTGTTAGTTGAAGGTTTATGTCATTAGAGGGGTGCTTTCAAGGGTACTGAGTCGGTTGGAGATTCTTAAAACTTCATAAAGGATCCTAAACTTGCCTTTAAATTGCCTAAACTTGCTATATAAATTTTTATAAATATTCTGCAGTCCATTACCCCAGACATACAGATAACAGACTTTCGATTCCAATTTGCATGCAGATTTTTTTTCAGGTATATAACATCATGTTTTGAGATACATATGTGTTGTGAAATGATTACAACAATCAAGCTATTTAACATATCCATCGCCTCACATACTTATAGAAATTCTTAATTTCCTCTGCTCAGAAACATTTTCTAATAGCACAAGTTAAAAATAAAACTCTTGAAAAGAAAAATGCGCTTAGCCTGTCACTGCCAGAGCCAGATTAAAATAGTTGGGTGAACACTATTCTATTTTGTTTTTTTTTGTTTTTTTTTGGTACCGGGCATCGATCTTGGGGAGTTAACACTATTCTAGAGGATTTCTTCATACTGCTGTATGTTAATGCATTTTTAAAAACAAAAAATTGGCAGTGACATATGTA